CTGGTCATCAAGGCCCTGCACTGCTCTCTCACTGGCAGATGTGCTCAGCCAGGAAGCTCGTGGGGGGCTTGGATACCTGTATTTTTTTTAAGGTTTATTTATTTAGTTTGAGGGGCTGGGGAGGGAGAGAGAATCCCAAGCAGGCTGTGTGATGTTGGTGCTGAGCCCTATGTAGGGCTTGAACCCACAAACCAGGAGCTTGTGACCTGGGCCAAAATCAAGAGTCAGATGCTTAACCGACAGAGCCACCCAGTACCTGTATTTAAAAAAAATTTTTTTTTAATGTTTTATTTATTTCTGGGAGAGAGAGAGCATGAGCAGGGGAGGGTCAGAGAGAGAGGGAGTCACAGACTGAAACAGGCTCCAGGCTCTGAGCTGGCTGTCAGCACAGAGCCCGACGCGGGGCTCGAACCCACGAACCGCGAGATCATGACCTAAGCGAAAGTCGGACGCTCAACCGACTATGCCACCCAGGCGCCCCCCAGTACCTGTATTTTTAACCAACTTGAAAATCTCTGCAGGCTTCCCTGGGTGGATCTTGCCCCGAGTTCATGGCCTTGCCTCTCAGCAGGTTTGGCCTGAAATCCAGCCGGAGATCAGCCAGAGCTGTCCCAGACCCCAGGCCTCAACTGCTGGGGGTGGGAGGGTGGGGGGCGTCTCCCAGGTGCCTCCCCCTGGTTCTAGAGCCCCCACTGCAGGCCTGTCCCTCCTCCCATCCTCTCTCCCAGTGAAGGACACCACCACTGCCCAGACGACCAGGTTCGTATGTTAGTTTGGCCGCAGAGCTTGGCCGGGGCCAGCCCTGTGAGTGGCCTGCAGGCTGTGAGCCACACTGCCCAGCTCACGGTTCCCAAACAGCATGGCCTTTGCAGCCTCCCTTCTCATGGGGGTGGGGGGAGCCCCCTGCCCCTCCCAGACAACCCCCATTCTTCTTTTCACGTCCTGACGTGCTGGCTGAGTGGCCCCAACCAGCTGTGTATCCTTTTGTACCTGCGTTTCCTCCTCCTTAAAGCACAGATAACGAGTTTCCACCGGAGGGATTGTAGGCACTTAGCGCAGCACCTGGCCCATAGCCGGCGCTCAATAGATGATGATCTGTTTCCTTGCTGGGCACAAGCCCCCTCGGCCCCGCACTTGCTGGGTGCCCACTCGCTGTCCTGCTCCCAGGGCAGCACCTTTTCATTTCTAGCTGTTCTCTCCAGAATTGGCCGGGAGGCCCCCTGAAGGCAGGGACCGGTTGTAATTCTTGATATTCCCAGTATCTTGCTTGCCAAGGGTTGATTGGCTTGCGGAAATCACTCAGTGAATCGACCATCCATTAACAATAGTTAAAGAACACCAGGACCCTGGGGCGCTGGGGGGCTCAGTCGGTTCAGTGTCTGACTCTTGATTTCGGCTCAGGTCATGATCCCATGGTCCATGGGATTGAGCTCCACATTGGGCTCTGCCCTGACAGCATGGCGCCTGCTTGTGATTTTTTTTCCCCCTCTCTCTCTCTCAAAATAAATACACTTAAAAAACAAAAGACACCTGGGCCCTGCCTAGATGTGCCTCCAAGTTTGACCACTTCCTGTATGGCTTTGTGCACGTTGATTGAACATCTTAGCTTCAGTGTCTCATCTGTAAAATGGGGGTTAGATAATCACTGTGGAAGAATAAGCACAGGGCTCCGGATAAGCCATTGTTGGTGGTGGTGGCTGAACACGTGCACTTAGAAATACAAAAATGAGAGCAATTATCAGCATGGAAAATACTAGACAACTTCTGTGTCCTTGGACACCCCAAGATGGTTCTTCTAGGTGACGGCAATGAAATACCCATGAACAGAATATAGGCAGGGGGTTGCACAGTGTTTGGGGAAGGCTGTCCCCCCAAATAACCTTTTAATTATAAAAGCAGTGTCTTCCCAATATTCATAATAGGCCTTGAGAGAGCTGCTACTGAAATATGTTTCCTTAACAAAATCCCTTTGGTCTAAATCCTAGGTTTCTTTCTTTTACCTTTCTTTCTGTCTGTCTTTTAACAAATGTGGGTTTAGGTTTGCTGTTATTGTTGTTTTTACCTTTTCTGAGCTTGTGATGGACTTTGTTGTTGCTGCTCATGGAGTGCCGGAGTAGATGCTGACCCCAAACAACGTATCTTTTAAAGGGAGAAAAGCACCCCAGGATTGACTGCCTGGAGTGTTCAGGCAAAGCTAGTGGGGCCTTTGGCCTCGCTGAGGGAAGGCAGGGCCCTCCCGAGGCCCTGACTCCTCAGATCCGTGGTGTTCTGCCGCACAATCCAGGCAGCAGTTTCCTGCCCTGATGCCCAGCTCACGCCCAGGGACTTGATTCAGCCAGGCCGGGTGGGGCCTGGGCACTCTCATGTAATTGCCGCAGGGATCCGAAGCCTATGGTTTGCAAAACAGGCCAACAGAGCTGGAGCTCCGGGGGACTCCAGAGGGTCTAGGCTGTAACCCAGTGTGGCCGGCGCATGGCTGGCATTTTGTGCTCTGAGAGCAGGGTCTGGCTCAGCCCATAGCTCTGGATCAGGCAGCCACCTCTTTCTGGGAGCCCAGAAACACATACTGAAGCCATCAGTCCATAGGACTGTTTTCCCATTTGATCAAAGCACAGGGCAAGGGACCACATGGAGAAAGGCCACTCCTGGCGCCTTTGTTGCCTTTAAGCCTTAATGGTGTCATCTATTTATCACATGTTTCTTTTACATTTGTTTCCAGCAAGCATGAAGCCAGTGGGTTACTACCTCGCTAGCTTTTAGCCTTTGACCGTCTCCATACCCAGGACTTGATTGGAGGGGGAAAGCCACCGAGGGGTTAGACAGCTCAGCAGCTAATGATGATGCTTTTTGCCTGTCTGATTCAAATATCCAAGCATTAGATTGTGTGCTTCTCGAGGAAAAAAGGCTGCTCCCCCCGTCTCTGCATCTTCTACGGGACCCACTCCAGTGCTGGACAGCAGAAAAGCTGCTCAAATGAGTGGTGGCTGCCTGCATCTGTTGGAGGCTCAGCGTGGGCAGAATGCCTCTTCCCGGCTCCTACCCCCCGCCCCCGCCTCCAGCCTGCTGGCCGGCTTCTCCGGCGCCCTAGAATGCCCTGGCCCCGGGGCCCCTGGGTGGCTTAGTCGGTTAAGCGTCCGACTTTCGCTTAGGTCATGATCCCGCGGTTCGTGGGTTCGGGCCCCACGTCGGGCTCTGTGCTGACTGCCGGCTCAGAGCCTGGAGCCTGTTTCAGTCTGTGACTCCCTCTCTCTCTGACCCTCCCCTGCTCACGCTCTCTCTCTCTCTCTCTCTCTCTCTCCTAGAAATAAAAAACATTAAAAAAAAAATTAAAGAATGCCCTGGCCCCGCCCAGCTGCTCCTGGTCCGGGAGGCAATGCAGGGACACTCCTGTTTGATCGACGCCACTGGGGTGGTTCTGAGGCTGCTCTCAGGAGACACTGTCTCCGTGCGACTGTGGCAGTGACAGTGGGGACGGAGTGGGCTTCCCAACGCTGCAGTGCCCTGGCTTCACCAGGATTGGAGGAAGGGTAGCAGGGGCCGGAGGCATTACTGTCGTGTATACAGTACAGGAGCAGGAAAGCACCCACACTTGGACGGAAGATCCTCGTGTTCGGATCCGGGGGCCTGGGAGGCCGACCTGGGCCAGAGCAGCTGACCCCGGCCCTGAACAGCTACAGGCGCAGGAGGGAAGAACTAAGCCTTTGGCCCTTTCCTTGCTCTCTTTCTCCAGAAGTGGCAAACGGCTGGAGGCTAGTGGGCGGAGCATGGGCCTGTGGGCGGGGCCACACGGCGGCCTCCAGCGCAGGGGGCGGGGCGGGCTGTGTGAGCATGCGCCCTGCTGCCCGGGCGCCCGCCGCGGACGCTCGGTTTCCCGCCCGCTCCGGCTCCCGGCTCCTCGGGACCTTGAACTTGCAGGTGTGGAAAGTAGCCCGCGGCGTACGAGGAGGAGGGAACCGGGGTGGGGACTGGCAAGGATACACAGACTCCCTCGGAGGTTGAGAAGGGCGGGCAGTAGGTGCGGTCTTGGAAACGCCCCGGGCCGCACGTGGCACAGGCTTCCCGGAGGGAGGGCGCGAGTAAACCCAGAAAGCCGTTAGGGTAGCGGGGGTGCGGCTGTGTCAGCTGGTAGTGAGGGCGCGCGCCCACCCCTTACTTGTGCACCGAGCCCCCCGGCCCGCAGGGAGGCCCAGCCAGAGGGCGCCCCGACGCCGGGCACGGCGAGGTCACCGACTCGCTGTTGGGCGAGCAGCCCGGAGTTTGGAACGCATGCATCGCGAGCTTTGAAAATCCCCTTCCTGTGAAAGTACAAGTCCGTTTCACCGTTGCCGCTTCTGGCGGGTGAGGCCCGCGAGGAAGGGCGCATGACACATGCAGCTTCTTTCCAGAACGGTTGTGGGTAGTTGTGCAGCTCTAAATTCAGTCCAAGGCCCACGTTCCCAGGGGCGCGCGTGCTGCTGGCTGTAGGAAGCCGTCTGTGGACAAATGCGGATAATGGTTGGAGTGAATTAGCAAGTCTGGGGAGGAGGGCCCATCAGCAGAATGACAAATTTAGGATCTTTGAAGACAGCTGGTCAGCGATGCCGGCGCTCGTGATTGACTGAGTGATTAATACTGGAAAAGCCTTAGTTGAGCGTTTCCGTGGCCCCTCGCCCCCTCGCCCAGCCGGGGCGGTGCCAGCGCCGTCTCCGGTGAACATGGGGCGTTGAGGCCCCCCATCTTTGACGCTGGTGAGGTTAAGCGTGCAGTTTTCCTCCGCCTGTCCAACTGGTCTGGGGCTTTCCTGAGGGACAGCTCTGTTGCGAGGGCCCTGGATCCCCGTTCACGTCTGATACGATGCCTCACCGCCGAGCCCAGTGCCAGCTGCCAGCCCCGGGGTCCCGCACTTCCGGCTGGGGCTTCCCCCAAACGCAGACGCCGGAGAGCCGCGGTCGCCTCCCTCCCTGACGCGCACCCCCCCGTCCCTGGGCCCCGCCCTGACTCTGCCGTCCGTGTCTCTGCAGGCTGAAGCAGCTGGACAAGCACAGCCAGGCCACCGCCCAGCAGCTGGTGCAGCTTCTGCGGGAGAGGCAGAACCTGCAGGAGGAGATGGGGCGCCCGAGAGCGCAGGTACGGGGGGGGGGGGGGGGGGGGGGGAGCCGGCCGGGGGAGGGAGTCCTCATCCCCACCGCCCCCAGAGCGCGCGGGTCTGCATCCGGGGCTCTATCTCCTTCCTTTCTTCAGAGCTGCGTCTTAACCAGTAACCCGGCTGGGGAGTTCCTGAAGACTGTGCTGGGCACACTGGGGGACACAGGTATGTGGGCCGTGGGCCTGCCCCCTTCGGGGGTTGAGTCTGTGCGGGAGAACAGACCCGCAGGCCACAGATGCCGCTGCGGACGGGCGCGGGTGGTGGAAGGGTGGGGAGGGTGTGGGCAGGCTTCCTGGAGGAGGCGGCTTTGGGCTTCCCCGGAGGATGCAGACGCTCGGAATCTGGTGAGGAGAGAGATGCGGCCCGCCCCTGGGAGGGGGGCACTGTGAGCGAAATGCCGGAGGCCTGCCCCAGGTCTGCTACCTCCTGACCGAGTGCTCACAGGCGGCCGGCTGGGCTGCGATACAGAAGGTGCCCTTGAACGAGCCTGCAAGACTGATTGTTGTCTCCCTTTCTCAGAGAGGGAAACTGAGGCTCAAACAAGCCTGTCCAGCTAGCAAGTAGTGCAGTGTCCTGCCTCATGCTGACCCCACAGCCCAGGACTTCCCGGGTGAGGTTAGCTCTGGGGAAAGAGAACATCCGGGTGAATTTGGAGTGAGATAGGCGACCCTGCGCTCCTAGATTGCTTCTCTTCCGTCAGACAAGCCGTTCTTTTTGCCCCATGAAGCAATTTGTTAGGATGACGGGGTGGCCCGTGGGCTGGCCCTGGTCTCGGCCTTGGATTCAGATTGCAGCCAGGTGCCCGTGAGGCCCGGGAGCACAGCAGTGCTCAGGGTGAGTCACGGGAACACCATCTGTGGAGAAGAAAAGGATGGGAAACTCTCATAATGCTTCCAGAATAACCCTGAGCCCGACGGGCAACGGGATCCGCTCTCCTCTGGGTGAATTTTCCCACCCAGCACAGGCAGTCCTTGCTAAGGGCTCATTTCTCCAGGTAGCAAGTGAACACCTCCAAGGCCCGGGGTTGGGGACCGGCGTCCACTGGGCCCCCGGTGCCACTGACGCTGTCACCCCACAGACCACAGTCTGGCAGGCTTGCACACAGAAAAGCATGAGGAGTGCGGGTCCTGGGGCCGCGTTCACACAGCCCGAGGCGCAGGGCCCAGGGATCTGCGTGTTAAGCATCTCTTGGAGTAATTCTGAGGGACCCTCTGCAGTGATCGGAGGCGGAGAGAGCAGGGTTCCAGACTGCGCCGGTGGCGTGTGTGGTGAGGCTCAGCAAGAATCTCTTGCACCCAGTAGGTCCAAGAAATGTCAGGGCCTTCCCCCTCCCCTCCCCTCCCTTCCCAGGAATGGAGAAGGTCCAGGAGAAGCCCAGGGATGGCAGAGGCCATGGGGCGGCCCGTGGCGCCCTCCCCTGCACCTCTCAGACGGGCCGGCGCTTCCTGCTGCCCCCGTGGGGGCCGCGACCTGCCGGGGTGGGTCCCGCGGGAGACCCTGTGTGGCGCCAGCCAAGGGTTGGGGCCACCGGCACACCAGTGAGGAACAGGGACCCCCGGCAGGAGTGAATCCTTTGGCTCCAGAAGCCAAGCGGCCACTTTAGGACGCAGAGCTGGGAGGGCTTCTGTACCAGCACATGGCAGCCTCGGGGTTCTGGACTGGATCGTTACCAGGAGGGTTTCCCTTTTAACTCCCCATCTGCCTACCTTGCGGCCACTCAGATCTTAACATGGACCATCACTGCTCAGAAGCCTCTTCCAGGGCTTAAAAAACCTGATAATTACCAAATGGATTGCAAAATTTTCATAAAATGCGTTAAAAAAACCAAACAAACCCAACCTCAAAAAGTCCTCAGAAAACCGAGCAGGCCTTTCTTCTCTTGCCTGAAGCAGCGGAGATGATTTGACCATCCTGAGTTATCTGATAGCAGCCATCTGGCTCCTCTCTAAAGGGGCCTTTCAGATTCACAGAGTGCATTTGGAGTTATTTTAATATGAACGTGACAAAAGGAATTTCATGGAGGGAGCACTGGCTTTCAGGAGCAAATCCTAGTGTTCAAAGAAGAGGTAGGGGTCCAGGTTTGCAAGCTCTCTGCTGACTATCTAAGCCAAAGGCCTGCTCTCTCTACCCACGGGTGCCATTAGACCTACTTCAGCCACAGAATAAGCTGGAATTGTGAGTTTCGCCTCCAAGCCTGGAAGTGAACAAGACCGTGTGCCCCCAGCGGGGACGTCAGACAACACGGCCTGCCAAGGGTCCTGGAGAGATCGGCCACAGTCCCTGTCTTCCTGGAGGGAGACTGGATCATCTCTGGGTTAGGGATGGTTTGCCAAAGGCTTCCGTTTTCTCAGCCTGGATGAATTAAGCATACTGACTTAATTTTGTATGTCACATTCTGAAAGTCTTTGTCCACCCAGAACCCCGAAGAGAACGGAGACTTCCTGGCCTGGCCAGCTGCCCCCAAGCTGAGTCCCATCCCTCTGATCTGCTCCCAGGTACCGAGCGCTGGGCCCTGGAGCAGGGGACAGGGCTTGGGTTGGCCTGTGGCCTCTGACAGGAAACAGCTAGGCTTGTTTAGAAGGCTCTAGTATCCTACGTCGCTTCTGCTTCAGTTCTGGAACGTGGACAGCGCCTGGCAAAGGGAGCTGGTCACAGTCGTAACCAGGCTGCAGTGACATTTCTAACCGCAAGGATTCCCGTCCTCCCCTCAAACGCTGCTACGGTGCAGGGAGCCGGTCTGCTGTGGGGTGCGGGGTTCAGGCCCGGCACGGGGTGCTGACCGCTAATCTGCCTTGATCTTAGTGTGACTAAAAACGATGGCTTTATTATTCTCCTACCTCACTCTGCAGGTGGGGGATTCTAGAAAATGGCTTGAGAGAGAGAGAGAGAGAGAGATTGGTTATAAGCAGGGGAGGGGCAGAGAGAGGGGGAGACAGAATCCAAAGCAGGCGCCAGGCTCTGAGCTGTCAGCACAGAGCCCAGTGTGGGGCTCAAATTCACAAACATCGAGATCATGACCTGAGCTGAAGTCGGACGCTTAACCGATTGAGCCCCCAGGCGCCCCTAGCAAAGGGCTTTTTTTTTTTTTAATATAATTTATTGTCAGACTGGTTTCCATATAACACCCAGTGCTCCTCCCAACAAAAGGCTTTTACTAAAATGTCTTAAAAGGGCTGTGCTGGTCCCTGTGGAGAAACAGAGCCTGAAGACCCTCACCCAGCCTGACTGCAGACAGGGCCCTGAGTGTCTCCAGGTGCCACCAGTGGCTTGTTACAGGCCTTGTTACAGGGCTGGGCACCCGCCCTCCCGCCTCTTCTGGGGCAAGGGAGACCGTGGTAGCGGTGGTGTGGGGCTGGTGTCCAGGCGAGGAAGCCGGGCCCCGGGGCGGGCAGCTGGGAGCAGTGGTCTGCCACCCAAAGCCTGGGCTTCTAACCTCTGGCCAGGGAGGGAGGCACCAGGTGGTGAGGGGATCAGCGTCTTTTCTTGGGTTTTACACGCCAGGGGAGTGTTTATGAACTCACTGGGCAACAGCTCGGGGTCCAGCAGATTTGTGTTTTCTGGTCCCCGCCGCCTTGGCCGCCACCTGTAGGGCCCCGTCCTCAGTGCTGCGTCCAGGGAGGAGCTCCCTTTCCATCCCTGCAGTTGAAGGGCTTGTGTGCAGGAAGCAACCTGAGACTGACTTACCAGTGATGAATCAGTTGGTCCTGTGACTTTTGCGCATTTTCGGCAGTGAACTGACTTTCTAATTTGATTCAAACTTGTGCGGGGCTCCAGCAGCCTTACTCGATTAAGTTCAAAGCCACGGACATTATCCCATTCCACCAAAGGACCCCAAGCAAGAGAGCCGAACCGAGACGACGGGCAGGCCAGGCTCGTCTGTGCCCTGACGCAAGGGCGGGGCGGCCTCAGAAATGTCAGCCTGACCCAGGGTCGCCAGGCTGGGGTCCGGCTGAGGAGGAGTGCCCGAGGGGCGCCCAGGACGGCACCGGGAGGTGCGCGCAGGATGGCCGGGGTCCTTCCCGAGTCCTGGGGGCTGCGCCCGGCTCACGTGGGTGCCTCCCTGGAGTTAGCTACCTGTAGGACAGATGGTGCCTGGATAGAACAGCAAATACACTGAATAAAATAAATTAAAAAAGCCTCCTCCTGAACCAAGATTTGTTGGAAAGAATTCTAAATAGATGAAAACAAACAATTTGATTTCAACCAAATTGTTGTTTTTTTGTTTTTATCCTGATTTTCACCCGAATTGTCAGTCTCAAAAATAAACACTGATACATTCCCAGAAAATATTTTTCAAATAAAAACTGACTCTGTTAAAGTTTGCCCTGATTCTTTCAAAACTGTGTACGAGACACTGTCAACCAAAGTGACTTGCATATTTTTTTAAATACACTTGAACATATGCAGCTAAAATGTCATTAACTCCCTGCTGCCTGAGTGGTTTTCAAGAGTGACACGAGCCCCCGGTGCTGTGTTTCTGACATCAGGGCCTCTCGACCCTCAGGCAAAACTTCCCCAAGCAACTCAAATTGCCTACTTTAACTTCCGTTTTGTTTTTCTGTTTTTTGGGGTGTTTTGTTTTGTTTGGTTCACTGAAGGCCCCGTGTGTGATTAACGTTGAAAAGCACATAAGGCTTCACTGAAACCAGACCCGCTATTCCGTCAGCAGTTCACTTTGTCCAGGAGCGAACCGTGTCGGAGTAAGGCTCGTGGAAGAAAAATAAATAGGATTTTCTGGTGCTGCAGATACCCTTGCTCCGCTTGCTGCTTCCTGAGTCAGTACAGTTTGCGATAGAAATTCACAATCAAGATTTTAAAGGGAGCTAAATATTTTAATCCAATCAGACAAGTGAACAAAACACTGAATATTACATGGAGCCGAGAGAAGTGGCTCTTGCCTTTAAAAGACTGCAGTTCCGTCACATTACAACCCCAAATGTCAATGTTGTCTTTATTTCTAACGCTTTCAAACACGAGGCAGCCAGAGGCTCCACTCTCTGCTGTTGGTGACACTGTCTGTCCTTTGGGAATTCTTCAAGTCTATTTGCCATGGAAACATGGTTCCTGTGACACACAGACACCTGCCCGTGGGCAGAGAAGGTTCTCATGACTTGCGGGATCCCGGGCAGATGGAGGACAACCAAGTCAGACGGCATGAGCTCTGGGACCCCTGTGTCCCTGGAGCTCCGGGGAGGGGTGGGGGGGGCGGCCTGGCAGTCTGACCCCTGCGGCCTCCCCACCCATCCCCCCAGGCCACGCATCCCCAGTCCAGCTGGAGATGCTGTTGGCCCACCTTCGTTCAGCAGGGATGGCCTTCCTGCGTCTACCTCTTCCTTTCTCTGGCTTCTACAGCCCCTTCCCTCTGTGGGGCCCATGGCAGAGAGCCAGGCATGTGGTGCAGGGAAGCCGGGGCTCTGACCCCTGCCTACACAGGCCTGGTGTCGTCAGGGGCCCTGGGGCCCGCCTGGTGTGCCGCGACCTTGCCGTGAACTCCGGCCCGCTTTGCAGCTGCCGATGGCCTGGTTCCAGGGAAGGCCATGCCGGAGCCGGGGGTTGAGGCAGAGTTTGGGTCACTTTGCTGACCCAGAGGCTGCCCATCGATGGCCCGAGTCTTGGGGGGGAAGGCCCACCACGTTCCACGACGTTCTGCGGAGGACCGGTGAGGCCACCTTCCTCCTGAGCAAATTGGTGGCTGCCCGCAGCTCATGTGACGTGTGAGTGCCCGCTGGCCTCCCAGATCCGACTTCTGCTTGGTCCCACAGACAGCAAACCTGGTGGCTTCTGTGCTCCTTCGCCGGGCGGGTCACAAGAGCATTAACCGGCCTGGACTTCGAGGTCCAGCTGCCAAAGTTCAAATCGCAGCTCTGTACCACTCCTGGTAAATTATTTACCTTTCCTATCACTTGGGTCCTACTCAAAACCAAAATCGAAAAACAAGCAAAAAGCCTTAATAATAGAACCAGCTTCCCTTGAAGAGTCAGCCCCCGCATCATGCCGGCTCCCACACGGTGACCGTGAAGCCAGCCCGGTTGGCGCGAAAGGGCCACTGGATCCATCATTCGGCATCCTTTCTGTCCGGATGGGAAAATAAGGCCTGGAGAAATGAAGTGCACAGAACTGGGAAGTGAACGGCAGGGAAAAATACTCGAGAAAGTGGTTCAGCCCCTGGGCCGCGGGCTGCCTGGACGGGGCGGGTGTCCATCCGGCTCCCCCAGGGCAGAGACTGCAGCCAGGCCCTGGCTCCCCAGCAGCAGGTACTGGTGGCTTCTCTGGAACACAGGACACGGCTCTAAAATGCCCCCAGCTGCAGGCGGGAAAGGGGCTCTTCCCTCTCTGGGTAAAAACAGATGCTTTCAGAGGCACAAGGAACAGGACCACTGTTTTTTCATGTTTATTTCTGAGAGAGAGCAGGGACGGACAGAGAGAGGGACAGAGGATCCCTGTCAGGGGATCGAGTGGGGCTCGAACACACGAACTCGAACACACGAACTGTCAGATCATGACAGGAGCCCAAGTTGGATGATTAACCATTTGAGCCACCCAGGCACCCCAAACAGGACCATTTTTTGACCTGGCCACACAGAGGCAGAAAATACGCAAATGAGTGAGGCAGGTGGGGGTGCTGCATTTGCAAGGAGGGGTGGCTGGGGAGAGGCGGAGTGGAGTCTGCAGGGAAAGGGCATAGATGGAAACGTGGGTCGGGCTGAAGCTGGGCGAGCACGTTCTGTGAGTAGGGGCGAGGTGGGCTGTGCGCTCCCTGGGTCCTGGGCTGGGCTGGGCTGGGCTGGGGAACAAAGCGGCAGAAAAGGCTCTGCTCGACCCCACAGCGGGGTTGCCTGCGAACAGTTCATGTCACCCAGAGAGTCTGCATTTAAAGTCCAACTTCAGAAAGAAACACGTCAGGGTTTGTGGAGAGAAGGCTCTAGTAGGATTTAAAAGGAGAACAAAGAACACGGGGAAGCCATAGCAGGCGTGTGGACGGGGCGCACTTGTGTTGCCTGCGGACAGCATTCTTCTAGAAGACCGGTGGCCAGGGTGCCCTGTCCCAGAGGGCAGCCACGGACCAGAGCGGATGTGGCCACACCACCCAGCCAGGCCACAGCAAGGGGCCTTAGCATGAATTGAAAGGCACAGGCCGGGGAGACGGTGGCCGAGGGCTCAGTGTTACACGGGCACGTGCACCCTCACCGTCCCTCACAGCCAGACCCGGCCCAGGGTGCGGTGCACCGCGCACCCAGCTTTCTGGAAGTCGGCAAGGCCAAGCTCCCTCAGAAGTGAGGGCAGACGGGCAGCTCTGGGGCCGTAACCAACGCCTCCTCGGGAGGGGGAGGCATGAACCGTTCTCTACTAAAGAGCCAGCAAGCCAACGGCAGCACTTGAGCGGGGCAGGTAGAGACCAAGCAGTGACGTCATCGGTGAGTTAGTCCTTCAGGTATTTGCCGAGGGCGGGGCAGCCGTGGGCGCCGGGGACCGGGCGTGAAAAGCAAGCACCCCAACAGGCCAGTCAGGACGGGCCTGCGCTGGGACCCAGTACAGTACCAAGCCAGCGAGGGGGTAGTGACGGGATTTGCTCCAGGGAGAGGCCGGTCACGTCGGGGACCTCCCACGGGGCCGGGGCGCCGGTTCCGGGGTGCAGCCTGTGCTCCATGAGCCAACGGCCCGGGCACAGGCACCACGGAGACTCACACGAGCGACGCCGGCTCCCTCGAGCTCGGTTTAAATTCATTCCTGCAACGCGTCCCCCACTTCAGGTCTTTACCCCTCCTCTACCGTGCGTGTCGTGGGGGGGGGGTGTCTTCTACCCCAAGTCCCTGTCGCGGTTTCCGCGTATCCTTGTACTCAGAGGCGAACCTTGGGTCTCTGAGGTCGGGACGCGAGCCGCTGTCCAGGGAGCGCCCGGCCCACGGCCCGCAGTCCCCGGGCGGCCCCAGGTCTGGTGGA